TGACTGGTCCTCGCTGCAGAAGACGCGCCGCAGCATCGCCCGCATTTATTGCTCGCCCAGATTCACTTCGCTCCAGTACGACAAAGTCAACAACGTCGGCGAGGAAGAGCTCAAGTCCTTCCTCCACGAACTAAACAAACTCCCCCACGGACAGCCCTGTAACGTCAAACCGGTCATCCTCATGGCCTGCGCTAACATGTTCACTCAGTATATGTGCTCTACAAGCTTCGCCTACGAAGATAAAGGCTTCCAAAAGATCGTACGATACTTTGATGAAATTTTTTGGGAGATCAATCAAGGGTATATCGTGGATTTCCTTCCATGGCTTCTCCCAGTCTACAACGGCCACATGAAGAAAATCTCCAACTGGGCCACGGAAATCCGACAGTTTATTTTGTCGAGAATCATTGACAAACATCGAGCGACCTTAGACACTAACTCCCCACCAAGAGACTTCACCGATGCTCTTTTGATGCACTTGGAAGAAGACCCAAATATGAATTGGCAACATATCATATTCGAATTGGAGGATTTCCTCGGGGGACACTCGGCCATCGGTAACTTGGTCATGGTAACTCTAGCCGCAGTCGTCGATCATCCGGAAGTCGCAAAACGTATTCAGACAGAAATCGACCAAGTAACCGGTGGTACTCGATGCCCAAACCTTTTCGACAAAGCAGCAATGCCCTACACGGAAGCCACCATCTTGGAAACACTCCGAACAGCTTCTTCGCCTATTGTACCACACGTCGCTAGCAAAGACACCGAAATCGATGGACACGAAGTCAGAAAAGGCACAATCGTATTCATTAACAACTACGAATTGAATCGTGGAGATGCTTATTGGGACGAACCTGGACTTTTCAAGCCTGAAAGATTCCTTTCGAGCACCGGCAATGTCGTCAAACCGGCACATTTCATTCCTTTTAGCACGGGAAAGAGGACATGCATTGGCCAAAGGCTTGTCAAATGTTTCAGCTTCATGGTTTTAGCGACACTTCTGCAGTATTATGACGTCAGTACAAATGAAAAACGCGTAAAGGTACAACCCGGTTGCGTTGCAGTCCCGCCTGATTGTTTCAAGTTAGTATTGACACCAAGAAAATAAACGATGTGTAGTCTTGAACCCGTGAGCGATTAAGCGATGCTTATCGGAGGGTATTTTGTAAGATTGCGGCTGTAATCACAGGTAGTTTGTTTGACAGTGGAGAGGGCGGGCGCCCTGCCGGAACTTATACGGCCACTAAAAGACGAGGCTTTAAGCCAAGCATCACCTTCATATTTTTTCTCATTTATTTTATTATCGTTATTTTATCACGCATTCATTGTATATATATCATTATGTGAATTTATTGTAAAGATGTTCTAATAATTTATCCTTAATTGTAGTCTCCCAGTTTTAAGTCCAATATAATGAGACTGAATAAAGTGTGTATTTTATTACATCGAGTTTTATTTTTCTTTTCCATCACTGATCTGTTTTCGCCAATTTCATTGACATGTTAACGCTCCAAACAAGGTCTCTTCAAGTACAGTTCGAGGTTAGATTTTATTAAATTTATTGCATTTAACAAATAATAAGGACTCATTCGTCATAACATGAGCCAAAAATAACACACACTACCGAGAGATATTTCACATGAAAGAGACATTTCTCAATTCTCAACAATAAGGTCAAAATGTAAAACTTCTCATAGAAAATGTGCCGCATTTCCCAACCGTAATATTATTGAAATAGTTAAATAATGCAGAAAACCTAGATGAGATTCAACATCATCGTAGCGTCTAAGCTAATTCTAATGCACATATTTATTTATCTGCAATTGCTAATTACTTCTATCTGAATGATTTCCTCAATTAATACGTTGGCAGTTTCTGGGATATCTAAGAAGAAAAAAGTGAAAATGTAACCTAATTCTGCTATACGAAGCTGTATTAATCTCTTGAGCAATCAACGCAATAGATTGGCATTCTTAATTCTAATCTCCCGATGAAAAAGCCGGAATTTTCCGTGAGACAAAAACTCACTGATGATAAACTAGTCGCAAATTAATATTTATGCTAGAAAATAAATTGTAATAAATAACAAATAATGAATAAATGAAACTGAGAATTCACGGTCACGCAATGCTTTGATTTTGAAATTTCAAAGCTGTTTTTATACCTATATCACTCCACTCACAACAATAAATTTATTAGCTTAGGTCTTGGTGATCGGTCGGTAATTGACTAATTGTTTGATTACTTCGCGGCCCGACCTGATTGATTTATATCTCGACAAACTCAATTGTTTTGCAGTGATGAGCTTTTGTTGAAGGTTTATGTTAAGTTCGTGAAATAATAAAAAAATTCCGAATAAACAAAATAACCTCAAGTGTAAGATCAGTGTTTCAATGTCAACGGCGAACTGGTATTATGTAACATTTAAGCACGTTATGTTGTTAGTATATAATAATAATTAGGTAAACGTGTTGAAAGTTTGATGTGAAGGCATGATCTTCATTTCCTCCAAAACAGAGATCACCACGTGTTTGAGAATAAATTAAACGTGCATTTTATATTCTCATCATCAAAATGCACTGCGGACTAAGCAGCAAACTTTCTTTGACATAATTCTCAAATATCTCGCACATTCGAATAAAACTCACGATTATATTATAATGTTATTTAATTTCAGTTACATATGTATATGTGATACCGCATTTTGTTTGTCCGTGGAATAAGTGGAACAATGCAAAGAAAGTGAAATTATCATTTTAGTTTCTATACCACCAGTATATACATATAATGTTTCATATCACAAGCGTTCAGCTTTATTTACTATCACTTTTTAAATTAGCTCCAGATTATATTTAAGTTCTCTGATACACTCTCTTTTACCGATTAAACAACACTTAGAAACCCACACAACGCTATTTAACACTCTAAATTTAACTACAAAAAAAATCGATATTTAACTTAAAAATTCCATGGCAATAGTTATCCCAGTCATTAATAGTTCTGTTTGAGACAACAATTGTAAATATTGTTGCATTTAAATTTGACAAATATTTGATAGCTAATGATAAAATTCATATTTATTTACTGAGGTGTACACAATCGGAGAGACATTAGTAACAAAAATCTGTAATCTGATTTAAGACAATTTCCGTTGTTATTTTGTTGGTATTGACGTCAAACAGATACAAATAAAAACAAAAAATTGAATAAACAAAACAATACTTTCATTTTGCATATGATTTTACCCAGACGTCAACTTTCTATTTTTCAATAACAATTTTTTATAATTATTTGAAAAAGTTACAATGTCAAAACAAATAGGTAATTCATGACAAATGACCAGTCTGTTAGAATTAGCAAAGTAATTGTTTTTTTTTTGCTGATGAATATTGTGTAAATAGTAAAACAACTAGACTTCGCATTTGCGAGGTATTACCCAAAAAAAATCAGTATAAGAAAGGGATAATTGTGGTATCCAGGTGTCCAGTTGTAAGGACCTAGATTCGGGCCGCTGATCTAAGATTCGAAGTGTCGTTTTGTTGGTTTATTTTTCAAGTTTACCCGAGGTCCAAAACATTCGAGCATTGTTGTTTAACGTGCATTGCGATAAGAATCAGAGTGTAATTAATGCTAGCCGCTATTTTTGGCTGAAATAAAAGCCGACAGTTTTTATGAGGTGCGGTATGACCTATATCGAGGAATTTCCTGCATCTGGTTATATGTTGACGTTTTTAATATGAGCCATCAAGCAACGGTTTTCTTGGAACAATTACATAATTGTGAAGAATCTGCCGTGTTATCAGTGGATGCCGGTCACATACACAGTTTTTTACGGGCTTTCATAAAAAGTTTAGTGAACAAGAAGTGCGAGTACAACACGCATGGTCTGGCTAACGCATCTACCAGCTCACCTTGCACTGACATTGAATAGAACAGGGCCGCTGTCTGCGCTCATGATCAGATTTATTACTTATTGTAGTTGATAGTGTTTTTCAGCTGCTCCTCCCTCTATGTAGGTCAGTGTGATGCATATCATACTGTTGGCCTTGATCGCCACTCGGAAGGATGCTACTGGAGCTGGAAGCTGAACCTGATACACAACCACTTGCATTTATCTTCACACTTCTGGCCTCTAGCCTCTAGCCTCTGGGTTAAACACACCAACTTTTAACTACTCTTTCAAATCCAGCTTTACACTTATGCCTATGCACACCGCGGAAATTGCAAAATTCAATTTCATCATATTTTTATAACAGCAAATGCCTGATGACTCGCCCATATCGTGACTTAAAACTTATCCTACCAGACGATACATCAACACAAAGAACTGAAAACGGCTTCAGGCAATTTGTGGCATTTGCACAAGATTACCGACTTTTCAAAATCTGAAGGGTGTCTGCTACACTTCAAATTCAAAACCAAAAAAAAAGACTTCACTTGATGTGCTATAATTTTTCTTTTTGTTTGATTTTTCTGTTCACATAAACCCCTTAACATTTATATGTTTGATAAATTAATAAAATAATTGAGTAACTCGAAAGCAGTCAGTACTTTATCAAATTTTATCACTATATAACTTTTTGTAAAGAATTTTCATTGAGTAAATAGCCTTATACCTACTCATATATTTTTAAAAAGTTTTGTTACATTCTATTTACATTTTTTCAGATATTAAAACATCGTTTAAAAAAGTAAAATTTGAACAATATATTTATTAATAATCAAGCGTCAGATTTCTAAATTTGTCTACCATCATAATACAATGCAATTTGCGTAAATTTTACAGAAGTTTCTTTTCAAATTCGTCAAATTTAAATTCCCCTTGAAATTCTTCCAGCTCGCCTGCTCTGTTTCTTTAGGTGAATCATTTGGGTCATTAAATGTCTCCTGTTCCTGACAGCTCAACTCACGTGTACTAATCTTTAATAAACTATCTTGTAAAATTGAAGATTTTCGACGGCAACGTTATGCAACCAACAATACTCACTTTGAAGATACAATTTAATTCTTCCAAGATGTTTATTGAAAAAAATATCTGTATAAAACATGCATTTTCTGTACAGTACATTTTAATAAAAATTATTAATTTTATGAAATAAATAATAACAAATGGTCAACAATGAACTAAGCTGTAACTTTCAATTTAAACGAAATGGCAAAATACGTTACAACTAGTGAAACCAAAGTAGCCAGAAGTTCACTCTTTAACCATGGTCCATTATAGGCACCTGGGTAGTTGATGACCACATCCGCCATTGAGGGAACCGCTGACAAGTCTTCTCCCGCTCTGAGGGCTTTGCGAGCCGCCGCAAAACCGTCTTCGTCCAAAACGCGCACTAATTTGTCGCCACTGCGAGCTGTTTTGGTGTCTTCAGTCCAACTAATCTGCAAGAAAACAATTACGACCTGTTGGACATATGTTGAAGAATTTACCTGATACTGGTTTGGCCCAACGACAGAAACTGGGACAATGTTGCCATTCACTTCGGCATACAAGGGTGGAACTTGTCCGTTGCTGCACTTTAGGGTAAAATCAGCAATGTATGCGATGTTAGTAACAATCGTAGCATCTTGCGTCGTGAAAGAAGTTGAGGTTATTTCGGGTTTAGTGCAAGAATCACCAAACACCGCGCTAAAGGCGAAAATACTTGCGATTAAAAATGAGCGAAACATTGTATTTACAGCTTCTTAATTAAAGAAGTTATGTTAAGTCACAAATTTGCTACTTTTCACTTCTGGAGGTAGCCACGTAGTGTTGTGCTTCTACGGAATGGAGCTGTCAAAGTGACATTTCACATTTGATGATTTGGAGCTAACGTGGCGCTACTATGTCTACGTCACTCCAAAAATAGGTTTCTGTAAAACGCGGGAGTTTAAAATTTGAATTGTATCCTCAATTGTTGTTGCAAATTAAATATAGTTTACATATTATTTATAAGTTTTTTCCTTGAACCAGTTTTAATTATAGTGTGAAAAATAATAATCTAACCGCAAACTGCGTCTATATATGTTGATAAGTTGTAATAGGAAATAATAATTAAAATGTAAGCCGCAAAAGTGATTATTAAACGATAGAACCATTGTGACTAATTAGTAGAAAGTCTAAAGTTTCCGTTTTACGAATTGTGTGAGGTGTTTGTGAAATAGTAATTTAGTCGGTTTTTCGGTGAAAGAGAATAGTTTGATGAAGTTTCAAGATCTTGTTAAAAATCGCGTCAGCTTATAAATAGTAATAAAACATGCTGTTTTCAGTTATTAATGAGACAGTGGTGTAGTCAAGTTAGCGGAATAATTATTGTAATTTAACGAATTTATATCAGTTTCTTAATATTGAGGATCTTCAAGGATTTTGTTATTTATGCGAGCGTGTCACGGTAAACCAGATAGGTAAGAATTTTCGTCTCGAATCAAAACAGTGATCAACTTAAATTCATAACGAATTTGTTAAATGCAGCCTGTGGTAAACAATAATTGAAGAGTATAATATTTTATGAAACAAGTTATAGTGACGCCAATGACTGCTGGTAAATCCAGTGTTATTTACATACATCTTAACTAAAAAGAAAGAAAAAGACGCAGAATAGTTTCTGAACCTGAGGAATAACAATGTCAGTGTTTTGAAGTTCTTCACAATGACAACAAAACCGATACTTAACTGTTTTATATTGTTAATTGTTTGTGGCTCTTCTGCGTTTGCGCAAGGTAAGTGCAAAAATTAAACTACTTTTTGATTTATATCGACAAGTTCCTCGTTCGATCTCAAGGATAGCATGTCAACGCACAATTGTCACATTCATATATAAAAACTTTTTCTTTTCATATTTTCACCAGAGACCTTTAAACGCGTTCACCTTTGTCTTTTCAGACTGTAAAAAATTATTCGAACAATAAAAAAAAACAAAACAAGCTGTTTTATTCCGTAGAATTTAAACGAAATCTAATTACCGTAATAAGCAGTACAGTCATTAATTTTCTATTAATATTTTAAACTAGACCTAAATAACATAACATATCATTTCTTCGTAAACTTAGGTTTTATCTAATGATCACGGTTTTAATTAATATTAATACAAATTATTTTTTTAGTGGGAGATGGCTGCGTAGTAAAATCCACAGGCGTCCGAGGGGTTTGCAAGATATCCTCAAATTGTCCCATTGTCGAAGAACAAGCACAGAATGGAATAAGTCCAACAATATGTGGTTACTACCAACTAACAGTTCCGATAGTCTGTTGCGAAGACAGCCCCTTCGTCCAACCAAACGATGATACGTTACTGAATCCAGAACCCAATCTGAATAACCAGGAACCAAATTACTCCAACAGCCGGGAACCAAGTTATTCCAATCACCGAGAACCGAGTTACTCCAACAACCGGGAACCGAGTTATTCCAACAACCGAGAGCCAAGTTACTCCAACTCCAACAACCGGCGACCAAATCCCTCCTTAAACCGAGAACCGAACCCCAACGTATTTCCAGCCGGTGAACCCGATGCTGTGGTATACCCTTCTGACTCGGACAATCAGCCCTCGCGGCCCCAAGTGACTCATACAAGTAAAAGCGAGCAAAGTATGTCTACAAGCAATCGGGACTTCACTTGTTAATAGCTTCGATTTTAGAGTGTCAAGAGTACAGTAAAGCTGTAACTGGTGTCGTTCAGGCAATTCCTTTAGTGACTAATACTGAGGCAGTTAGCTTCAGCTTTGTCAAGTGTGACTACAATGGAGTGGCGTTGATCGTCGGGGGCAAGCCTGCCTCTGCTGGGGAATTCCCATTTATGGTAATTAATTGCTTATTGTTTCCAGCTCTAATGTGATTTTTAGGCGGCCATTGGCTTTTACGTAGATAACAAAATCGAGTGGCGATGTGGGGGCACACTAATCAGTGAGGAGTATATTTTAACCGCCGCCCACTGTACTTACACCCGCGATGGGTAAAAATCTGCATTCGTTGACCTCTCACATATTATCAAAACAATTTCAGGGACACGCCGAAGATTGTTCGATTGGGAGACCTTGACTTATCTCGCGATGATGATGGCTCAATTTACGCCGATTACAATATAAGGAACATTGTAGTCCATCCTCGGTACCGCTACCCCCTCAAATACAACGACATTGCCCTCATCCAACTCTCAACAACAGTCAGATTTACAAAATTCATACGACCTGCTTGTCTTTACACCAAATCACAAGTGGAGCTACCACAAGCAGTGGCAACCGGTTGGGGCAAAACTGATTATGCCGCTGCTGAAATTAGTGAAAAGTTGATGAAAGTCTCGCTAAATATTTACAGTAATGAACGATGTGCTCAGACGTACCAAACAAGCAAACATTTACCACAAGGGATCAAATCTAACATGATTTGTGCAGGGGAGTTGAGGGGGGGCATGGACACGTGTCAAGGGGACTCTGGAGGGCCCTTGCTTATCACGAAAAAGGGCAACCAATGCAAGTTCTACGTCATCGGAGTCACTTCATTCGGAAAATCCTGTGGACAGGCCAACACGCCCGCTATTTACACCAGAGTCTCAGAATACGTGCCATGGATCGAAAAAACCATCTGGTAAAAATCACACTCTTAATGACATTGTTTATTTTATCATTCACATACAATACGTATTAGAAAATTTTATAATTTCAAGTACTGTATAAAAGAAGAATAAAGTTGTACTTAAACGTATTAGCTGTTCCGTGAAAATGACTAGAAATCATGGCCATTCATCCACATCCTCATCGTGAATTGTGTGCCAGGTTAAGCCATCGCCTACTGGTTCGTGAGCTGATGGCAAGAGAACATGCTGGAGGAAAGTACTGAAAGTGGGAGTAAATGGACGATCCTCAATTGTTACGTACTTACCGCCCCTGGACCAGGCCTAGAAAAATTCGCCAGTTTTTTTTAGTCCCGAAATTGTACGGATTTGTATAAATACGTCCCAGTTCTGATAATCTTTGGGTCTCTGCTTTGTTTATATTTGCCTCTATGCTGGTTTCGCCGCGCCCGATCAGTTGGCTGTGCCACAGTGACAGCACCCCAAGGGCAACAAACACACCTACCAAAAGTCAAAGTTGATACATTTACAGGCCAACTTGACAAAACTAAGTTGTATATTTTCCTTACACTTTTCAAACTTTATTTAAATCATAAACAAATAATAAAATATCAGTCTTCACATTATTTTAATCATTTAAACCACATTTTTGAAATTATGACTCAGTGGCGTACCAATACCGACACGGGACAGGGTTTCAGTCATTCGCGGGCTCATCTACTCTGATTACTTCATTACAAGAAAAATTCTATTTTATTATTATTCATTTATAAACTTTTTAACATAAAAACAGGACAGTTTCGGAATAATTCGTAATTAAGGTGATCAGAAAATTTAAAATCCGGACATAAATAGAAATAATTATAATAATTTTATTATAAAACACAAAATAAAAAAAATATATTGGTCTTACAAATGCAACTGTATAAAAATTTAAATATAATAAGACTACAAGATGCAAAATATTGAGAACAAAAAACAAAAAAAAACAATTTTTGGACCCTAATCTAACATTTAACATATTAATTTATTGTTTTATGTTAATTTCAATTTTTTTTGTAGGAATTACTTTAAGTTCCTTTATTCTCCGCGAACATTTTTTTAAATTCCTTGCAACCTAAATTAATACTTAATGTGATCAGTATAAGTGATTTTTAAGTGTTTCTACTATCACTAAGGACCAAACACAATGACATTTAACTAACATACTAGAAAACTTTTTAACATGAAAGTACTTTATTTTTGCTGCAAAGGAAAATCTCAAAAACGGCACACTTAGGTCTCTTTGTCCTTAATTCGGAACAAATCAGGACATAAACAGGACAAGGCAATAAAAACCTGTCAAAAAAAGCAAATTTCCTTTATTAATTGCAATATGCAAAAAACCGGCAGCAAAGAATCAAGTGGCAAAATTATGACTCTGAAGTTCGTCCAATTTGTAGAAATTAAGTTTGTCTCATATTTGTGAATAAAATTTAAATTTCGGTGATTTCGTGAGTTTTAGAACGCGTCTTTTGAAAAATATAATATTTACCTATACTAGATACTTTTCATTATCTTTCAAGCTTGATAAAAAACACTCCTTATTTGTAGGGTTTTAAAGCCCAGAACTTTTAACTAAAATTTCACATTACAAAATTTAATTAATACTAAGAATTGACCACTATTTACATTTTCTAAAAGGTGATACATATTTTGAGTGAATAGCAATCAAACTAACGATTTTTTGCTCTGATGAGTACGGTTTTTCAAGTATAAATTGGTCTCTAGAGTCAATCTATTGTCCACACTCTGTATGAGATTCCTCAAAAATAACAGTTTTTTAAACAACTAAACTCTCTTTACTTAAAAAAAAACTGAATTCAAAACCCACTGTTATGACTGTATCAGCGACGTCACGATATTTGGAAAGAAAAAATTAAAGAATACAAACCGCTGTTTATTAGTGCCATGTAGATGATAGCCCTCCTCTTCCAGGGGTTATTTGGTTCGTATATTTCGTTAAATTCATCGTCTGCTATTGGAGTATCAATGTAAAGAACATCAGTCTATGAAAAATAAACGTAATTATAATATGGGCTAAGGGATGTGAATTTACCACTGGAATAAGAGCACCTGTTTTATTAAATTTGACAGGATGGCCCTCTAATTCAGGTTCTCCTGAATCGTCCCCTGTTAACATAATAGCGGAATATGCAATATCAAAACCACAAATTATCACAAAAAGGACTCCCACAACCATATACACCATATACATAAAAAAATAGCGATGGTTCTTATAACCGACACAATTATTTAACCATGCTGTAACGATAATTAAGAAAATCAATCACCTTCTAGAATTTAGTTTGACTGTTTCAAAGGATACGGCAATGGTGATCCATTTTTAGAATGCATCTGTTACAAACTGAGCAATGGTGTGTTCTTGGGGGTTTGGGTGCAATGCATTTTTTGCATATACTAACTGCCTCAGTTATCAGTTCTCCCTGAAACGTTAAATTAGCCAAAAATTTCAAAATGAAGAAATGGAAACCTGAGGCGGGTAACCAGGTGGGGTAATAACAGCCATGTAGTAGTGGAATGATATATTAAGGAGCAACCAGTGTCCTATAATGACTAGAATAACACACAAATAAGGGTTGCGTTGCCACCAATATGGAAGACCTATCCAATATGCAATAAAAACAACTGAACTGGTCAACCCTATTACAGCCACGACAAATAACTACAAGGCATTGCAAATGACTTTAATATAACTTGTGGTGACTTACCGGTCCTATAGCATATGTAAAGTTATCTACAAACCAAAACATTGGTTCCATACACACATCGGCAGCATAACTTTGATCCATAAAGTGATTGTAAGTTAAGGAACGGAATGTAATTCGACATTTTTGGAAAAAAGACTTGGAGAGGTAACTAAAATAGCATAGCACAAGTGGAAGTTTTAACCCCTTTTTATACTTACTAAAGTGACTTGGGTAATCTTTGGAATTGCCAGTGGATTGTGGTCATTGTTCGAGGTTATGTCTGTGTCATAAAACAGTTTTATCCATATTTTTCTCAAAACAGATTAGTCGAGCTGTTTGGCCAAAAATTTGAATTGAAAAAACACAAGCTGAAATATCTGTCACCAACTACATAAACAACATAATTACCTTTGTGTGTCAATTAGTAATACTGAATGAATTCACATTGTCAGGTAAGATTAATTCAATCCATTAAAGTAATTTTTGTACTAAAACATATGTAATTCATTTAGAAAAGCAACAGAATAAATTATTGTAAAATATGTGTTTTGTTTCCCAAAACAAGAAGGGGTTAAATATTGTCACTTATTACGTATCAAAGATGGCGCAGTTGACAGTGCGGCAATTTCAAAATTCAAACAATTCAATATTTAAATTTCTTAATAATGAAAAATTGTGTTTAATGTAATTTGATAAGTAGGAATGGTTGCCTAAAGTGTTTAATAAACTTCAGTTCACCTTTTAATAAGATTATGAAGGTCAGGGCTTTCCTATGACGTTGCGGCCGCTGGCCATCGCAAAACCCGAATACAGTTTTACCTGTTGCCTCTTCAGCAAACTTTGTGCTTTATACTTGTTCCTCGTTTCATTATAATAGAATCATCGGTTTCATACACATAACGGGAATGTTGGCCGATTTACATTTATCTGTAAACTGATAAAACACGTATTTTCCATACATTTTGTGGACGCTATCTCGAACATAAACAAGTATCTGAAGACAGGGTCAACTTTTAGTGTGGCATTGTGATGATCAAAGAAATGTTGCTGTGTTTTCTACTGGGTAAGTAATAACTGATTTTAAAGTTTAAACTCAAAAAAAAATCAGATTCACAAAGAAATATCTACCGATATTATGCAAATTACCAATTATTGTGTAGGAATAAAATAATGAGCTTTATTTGCATTTTGCTCATCGTTTTATTTATGCTGACCCTCAAGATACCTGAATTATATTAATAAAAAGTTGCGATTAACTTTTTTTGCAGGATTAGTGTGCCTCTCGACAATTTCTGCCACAGGTTCCGATGAGGAAGCCGATGCTTATTTTCCTGCAAGCGAATGGTCTGATACTTTTGATTGGAAACTGCTCAAGGTACATTTTCCAAAATTTCTTTAAAGAGGAAATCTCCCATATCTTCCGTTTGTTGATATATATTTGAAAATTGCCAACGACGTCATGTCTTGAAAATGAAGAATACATCAGATATGACAAAGCAGAAATTCATTTTTAATTCAGAAATAATAATAAAGCTCACTTACTAATACACTTCACATAGTTCTTTTATGTGTTTAATTTAATTCCAACTAAAACTAATTGCGTCATAATTGAATAACATTGTTAGATCTATTAGTTTATTATTTATTACACATTATTACGTATAAACCACATGCCGTGCAACTAAAGTTTTATTTATAGTTGTTTAGACTTTCTTGTTTAATTGTGGCAACATTTGTTATTATGTTTACTCGACAAACTATCATCCTACTTCATTTCCACTTTAAATTTTATGTCTTGTATTGTTATTGCAAATAAAGGGGGTCATATACCCAATCTAATTACATTTAAAAGATAATGCATACTGATTCAATTGTATTAAAATGTCGCATTTTGTTATTAAAAAATTTCTATTGTTAGCTCAATGTAAAACAAATTTTTCTGAAGTCACAGGTTTAGAATTTTATTATATTTATCGACTGTTGTCTTTGCTTGTTTTGTTGAATAATATAAATATGCTGACATTACACCAGAGTTTTTGCAAAATAATTATTATTACCTTATTATTTATTACCTGTTGTGTTTATTCCTATTAAAATACCGTTTATTGAACTTTGGTTGTATTAGGTGTCAATATTGACAATAACAGGAAAACAAAATTTAAATGTCCAATGTAGTAGTAATTTAGTTTCGTTGCGGAAATTACACAAATATTTGATAAATAAATAATCCAGTAATTTCGTCATATTAGTGATGACTAACAAATTCAATTGTAAATTCACAAGCAATGTTTTTAAATATGCTTTTAGGCGTTTTCCACCCCCAACAGCCGCAATGTCTTGATATCACCTATAGGCCTGAAAGTAGTGTTAGCACTGCTATATGAAGGTTCCGGTGGGCTTACGGAAAAAGAGTTTCAAAATGTTTTGCAATTTCCTATCGAAAAGTCAAAAATGAGAGAACAATTTAAAAATATTTCTAAAGCGTTACAGGTACTTTTGACTTATTTGTTGATTTGTGACAAAGCGAATATTTTAGCCAAGTGAACGAAGTCAGTATATTTTAAATTTAGGGACTCGAATTTTCTTAGACTCTCGGATAACACCGCAGCAGAATTTTGCTGCGAAGGCATTAGATGGTTATAGAACAGATATAGAACCAACAAATTATTCTCAACCCATTGAAGCTAGTCAAACGATCAACTCTTGGATTGATAAGTTAACTAATGGAAAAGTTTCTCGTTTAGTAGCGCCAGGTATTTTGAAATGTGTGTTAAATCAAAAGTAATTTGTGGCTTTAGGTGATCTTGAAGATGCGATTATGATTATCGCTAATGCCATTTATTTCAAGGGTACTTGGCGCCATCAGTTTCCCAAAAATAACACAGCTATTGGTGGTTTTTACGTATCTCCTACTGAGATAGTAACTGTACCTTATATGACAACGATTGATGCTTTTTACTACTTTGAATCAAACGAGTTAGATGCCAAAATTCTAAGACTGCCATACAAGGTATTTTTTGGTTTCATTTGAGCCAAAATTTTTGTCACGGCTGTTGTAGGGACAAAACTACGCTCTTTTTATTGTACTGCCAAACTCCAAAGCAGGACTTTCAGAACTTATGAAAAAAGTTAACTTACACGTCCTTAAAAAACAACTCTACATGTTAGACAAAGTACCAGTTGAAGTCCGGTTGCCAAAATTCAAATTCAACTTCCAAGCAAGATTTATGAAAATATTGCAAGATGTGAGTGACCCCTAACTCCATATTGTTATAAACAAATTCCAATTGTAGTTCGGTTTGACACAAATGTTCCAAAACACAGCAAGTTTCCCTGGAATTGCTCGGGGAAACATTCCGCATTTGTTGCGCATGTTGGTGGTTTCTGACATTATTCAAAAATCTGGAATTGAACTTGATGAAGAGGGAAGTGTTGTATATGCAGCCACACGTGAGTATTTTAAAATAAATGATTCCATCAGGTTTAGATTTTTTTGCAGATGTCCAAGTAGGAAATAAATTTGCGGAAGTTGATTATGTATTCAATGCTACACACCCTTTTATGTTCTTTTTGGAGGAGCAGACAAGTGGCACAATTTTATTTGTTGGAAAAGTTGAAAACCCTTTGGAAACCAATGCTGTACCTTTACCACCCAGATTTGGTACCAACCAAGGTAAGAGAGCTAAGGCACGTGGGAGATCTGCTTGCCGCTGTGGCTGTAATCCTTGCAACAAAACACTAGAACACAATTAAAACACACTTGACACTTTTTGTACATATTTTAGTTTTATTATATAAACACATAGGTACTAGGGAATAAAAAATTATTACTTTTGTTAATATTGCTTTAATCCTCTTCCTCATTAGACATGGTGTTGGTTAATTATAATTAGAGTTTGAATTTAAATTAGTTGGTAGAGAATCTGAAATCATGAAAATGACATAATTGCTTGGGTAAAAGAACTGCAGTGCATCTATAATTTTTTCTTGACAAATTTGAAATCAGAACTTATTATGGGGAATACAGAATGACGCTCATAACTTGTTCGTGGAGTAACACGGGGATTTCCAAGGTCGTATTATGATTGCGCCTTCATACGGATTGTGGCCACCAGTTAGTCTCTTGATTATAAACGAGTTATTCTTCTTACAAATGCACTCACTCTATAGTAAAAGTTAGTTCATTAATCGCAAAGCTTAACTCTAGTGCAAACCAAACAATTGACATGGGTTTCGTTAAGAACTGCAACACGTTCAATCTTTTCCTTATGTTTCTCGCAGGTAATCTTTCATTTTTCTAATTATCACACTTCCGCATCATTTTGATTGCTGTAAACATTTAATTAGCACAGCTCTATACAAAAATTTGTTATATCCGAATCGGTGATTGCTTTCCTAATTTTAGAGCAGTAATCCTTGAAAAAATTCCATTTGATTGATTTTTTCTTTTAGGTTTTGAATCGACTTTGTCTGCTAGTCCAAATTTGCAACCTGCAAATCCAGAAAGGGACGCTGTAATTAGGAGGTTTAATTATTTTGATTTAGAGTTATTAAAAGTAACATTCCTTTAACTAAAAACTATTAGAAACTCATTATGTTAATTATAGGAATTTAGTGAATCGCCTGGAAACGTATTCATATCACCTGCCAGTATCAAAACAACGTTAGCTCTAATTTTAGAAGGAGCTAAAGGACAGAGTGCTCGAGAAATTGGAAATGCATTAAGAATAGACGATATTGAACAAAAGGAAATTCGTGAGATTTTAAACAGACTGTTGTTTGATTTAAAAGTATGACAAACTACTAAATAATCAAAAATAACGAATTATTCTAGGATAGTACCGGTAATACTGTTTTGGAGTCGGCCAGTTCTATCTTTGTTTCAAACAAATACAATGTGGTTCCTGAATTTGAGAAAAAAGTGATTACGTATTATAATGGTATGGTTAAACATCTTGACTTTTCACATCCGAATTTAGCAGCAAAAATAATCAATTCGTGGGTCTCCAACGCAACTCATGGTTTGATCGATCAAATTGTGGGAAATCGTAAGTATAGCAATTTTCCAGAAAATCGAAAAACGCATTCTTCCAGAAAACTTAAATCCTGATACCGCGTTGTTGCTAACCAACGCGTTGTATTTTAAGGGAAAATGGAAAACTGAATTCAATCCAAACGGTACCAAAGAAAAATGTTTCTATTCACCAACGCGTAATTGTGTGAGCACTCCTCTAATGCATATCTCTAGTACCTTCAATTATAATTTTAACATTGACTTGAATGCACATGCCATAGAACTGCCGTACCAGGTGATAATTGACAACACCTAATTATTCGACGATTTTTACATTCTTTCGTAGGATGACAAATACGCTATGTTAATTTTATTCCCAACTAATGGTAACAATGTCAGGACTTTGGCACGGGATATGCAACATGCTCAATTACACATGGTTATAGACGCTCTTAAACCAACCGATTTAATTCTAGAAATTCCCAAATTCGAGATCGATTATGAGACTGACTTGCTCAGTTTTTTGAGACCAGTGAGATCAACATTTTTCTCATTTTTTTAATAACTTAACTTTTAAATTGTAGTTGAAAATCCAGGAAATTTTCCAAGCAAACGCTAACTTGACCGGCATGGTTGGTCAAGAGAAAGTCAAAATCAGTAACATAGTGCACAAGACTAAAGTTGAAGTCAACGAGCAGGGCACTAGGGCCGCCGCTGTCACCACTGCTGTTGTCATTCCTTTAATGGGCTCCACAGCACAAAGAATAACAGTGGACCAACCGTTCATTTTCTTCGTTTATCATAGAGAATCAAGAAATATTATTTTTGAGGGACTTTTCGTCGAACCTGTCTCACCAAAGACTGTTCCAAATACTAATCGCTATTACTCGCAAGTGCCACAAAGGAGTGGTGTCAACTACCAACGACGGGATTTTCAGTATCAAAGATCTAACAATCGCTATCAATAATTAAAAGACTTATGGCGGAAATTGTCTGGCTGCGCAATACTCTAAATGAGATTGAATTTTTTGTTTTTATTTTTAATACACGATTCCTACATAGCATTCTTATCATTTCAAGTGCCTCGAGTTTAGACAATATGGCATCGGATTGTTGATAAGCAGCCTTCTTCCAGTGTTTATCAAAGGTTGACGAACCGTCAACACAGTTAAGAGAAACACTCCGTAACAATTCATGGTCAAAGGCTACTGAATGTCCTTGTGAAGTGAGGTCAATCAGGTAATTAAATTTAAATCACTTTATTAAATACAAGTTTATTTTGTTAATTATAAAATCACAGTTAAGCCAATACAAAACAATATAAATAAATCTTTGAATCTGTAACTGTTGACTGGACCGCACGAGTCATATAAAAATACACCTAAATGCAGAAATAAAAATCACAATCAACACTGAACAAAAATAATTGGTACTACACGGTAGCACCACCGGTTGCTATAATAAATAAACAAATAATCTCTAAATATTTAAGCAACGTAGTGTTTTTTCGGGGACTCTTGTCGTGTGTTGGAACGTTTCTATCCGGTCTGGATTGTCATCAGAACTATCAGTAGATCTCCGCCTTTCGACTTTGACAAAGGTGACACAGCCTTCACCGTCCCCCATGAGGGTTTTAAGGCACATATTCCTCTCCTTGACCCTCTTCAAGACCTCCTCCTCCAAATGAAACAAGTGTTCGTCGTCATGCTCCGGAAAGTGATGCTTCATAAAATTGGCTAGTCGCAGCACGTACTCGACGTTATACCCACTGGGCCCCCGGCAGTCTACAATTTGGTCGGCGATGTCCGAAATTTGGGCATCTCCCAACCAGAGAGGATTTTTCGGTGTGGCCACATATAACAGAACCTTGAACGGCTCTCCACTTATGGGGTAGAAGGTGGTGAAGACAGAACTGTATCCTCCTAACTCGCATTCTCGTTTCGACAAGTACGGAATTGCGGCCTCTCCACTTATTGCAAAAGCGACTCCGTGAACCAAACCCTGCAATTACTAAAAATAATGAAATTTTCTCATCTGGTTATGATAATGAAAAAAACTGATTCTTTGCCAAATTTATATTTAAATACGCAAGACACGTGAACGGTATTCGGGGCTAAAATCACCCAGACTTTCACTCATTGGCAATTCACGTCAGGGTACTCCAAAGGCGAATGGATTTTTACTAGGTTTAGGAATGTTTGGGCAAAAATAAATACACACGTGGCCGTACTTGTATATTTAGCTCGATTTACGTTAACACATTGCAGTGTTAATCTTGACCTTGGCAAGAATTGCCGGAATGTCACTAAAGTTGCATGTAATTTGTATTTCTCTATATTTGGTCGATAGAAGGCGGGAGGAAGATGTCCTTCTTTAACTCTATTATTATCTGTATAGCCTCAATTTCTCGCCACTTAATATAAATAAAACGAGAATTTAGCGCAACACTTTTGTTCCCCGCTTGATTTTATTGTTCACAGAATCACGGTTTAAAAGAATGATTTGTACTATTCCAAGAATGTGAATCTTCCTATCAACGAAATTATATTAAATTAATATCAATCACAATAACGTCAATTCGGACCGGTTCACTCTAATTTTATCAAGGTTAGTTTTTGTTTCTTTTTAAACAAACTAAAGATAAGGGTTAACATTTATGCAATGTTGTATTTTTTTAATGTTATCATACCACACAAATGAAATTAATTGCCATAATTTAGCCCTGGCTATCATCCAACTGAAGAGGATAAAGATTAACATTTCTCGTTAACTATAGCATTAAGAGATAAGGAATAATAAATACGATTTTTCCATATTTAAAATATAATGTCTCATTTGAATTTAATGATTTCTGCGAAACTGACTTTTGACTGCTTGCCTTCTAGTAATTATGATGAAAATATCGATTTTATGTAGAATGACGCATTATCGTCTATTTTTTTTTAACAATAACCATAAAATGTGCCTTATTTTGCAATACCTAAAGTTTGGTTTAAAAAATAATAAATGTTTGTCGCAACAATAAGCCAATTAAGAAAATATTTATTTACTTTACAGTATTACAATAAAAATAAAATTTAAACAGTAAATAAATAAAACAAAACCTCCAATTATAATTAGGTATAATTCCAAGGGTCTATGTCATATGGAAGTGTAATTTTACATCTTCCATTGGTTTACCTCAATTTATATTGTTTTTCCAAAAAATCGAGGAAATCCAATTTAATTTTACATAATTAGGTCAGTGTCGTTGTAGAAAGTGCTAAATTTGAAGGCATACACTCAATTTATAAGTAAGTCAAGTTTGTTTATCCCAACGCAGCCTTAACCCTTGTTTAATAAAAATCAGGTGTAATTTTAAATAAACACTTCATACTTTCTAAATATGCATCTTTGATTATTCCCAATTTTATCATTTAAAAAAGTAGATAAGACTGATGGATGACTTGATATCGGTTGTCTACACGGAAATTAAAATTAAATAAATAGGTGGGTCCCTATAACCGGAAATACTTCACCAACATAAGAGGTCTCTAATTACGTGGTTGTAAATGTCAGAAGAATCAAATGACGTTGATTTAAGTCACTTGTAAATAATAGCTTGCCATTCTCTTTTTCGTAAAAAATGATTTAATAAATACTCACCTTACTGTTTTCGATCAAAGTAGCGACACGACCGGGCTGAAAAAAAAAGATTCAGTTTTTGATATTGTGAGTTTACTTTACGCACGATTTGGTAGATAAAAATAAAAATTCCTTCAAAATTAATTGAAGGTTGTACGTGCGGCGAAAACGCGAGTTTACTGACCTAACTATAACAAAAAGCCGCATCTCTTAATAGATCAAAATAGCACGTAGATGCTGCTGTTCTTTGTATTGCTATCAAGTGATAATACAATGATAAAGAGCGATTTATATAAAAAAAAAACTTTTTACATTTTCTTCAGTCCCCCGGTGTGTGGTATTCCCTTGCCAGAACCTGCGGTGAAACCCTTGAACATACCCGGTGACAGCTTTATGAAACTGGAAGCCGGGTTTCCAGCACAGCGAACCATAAGCAAAAACCCATAAAGCTTTGGTTTCGTTGTGCAGAACTTCATCTTCCAGGACCACTAAACCACTTGCTGATTCCATTGCTGATGCAACACTTCCGAGACAGCTGTCAGAAGGTTTCGATCAATCCTAACTCGAACTAGTCACTAACTACACGCACGAGCTTTTCTCCAACAAATTCCAAGCGCGCGAATTTATTTTTAAATAGGCATATCACACATGCGTTTTGATACACTTTGGACGGAGACGGACTTCGCGTTGTACCGTGGACGTGTCAAATGGGAGGGAGAAAGGGGTCTCGGTGCGTAGACGCATTTCCTACGAGTGCGCACGTTGCGTATTTTCCAGCATTTTTACAACCCAATCAGTTGTACCTTTTATAAATTATATAATTATATACTAAAATAACGTTTTTTTAAATTTTGTTCCAAAATATTCCATGAGCACAGTTTATATCTATTATACATAATAATTTAACATTAGACGTGGTAAATTTTTTAGAGACGTTTATTTAAGAAAAAACACACTGATGGTATAAAATAAAGCTATTATAAAATTAGGGAGGAATGGTACAATACTACAATAAAACAAATTGTTCAATATAGACAACTCTCCTCTGTGATATTTCAATTTCCACTATGTAGCTATATTATTTTATTATTTTACACAAATAGGTGAATTACTTATTCTTTTAACTAGTCAAACATTTATACTTTATTTTTTGCAAACACATAATAAGAATAAAACTTAGTCAAAGTCGAAAACATTAAAAAAAATTTTTGGAAACATACAAAATGTTTCACGCAAGTTTACGAGCCTGTAAAATGCAATCAGCAATACATAATTCGGAACGAACTCTAACAAAAATGGAAACAGTATTTTATTTAAACATCAAGTATTTTTGTTCAGTAGAAGTATTATACGTTCAGGTAAATAATGGATGTTCATTAAATATAATAAATGTTTTTAGTAAGAATAATAAATGAACAGAAGAAAAAAAATGTGTTTTATCGAAATGTACAGGCTGCACCAGAACTCGCGCCCCAGAGAAAAATTTCAAGTAAGAACATGGAAAAAATGTTTAAAAAATTCTATCTGTCAAAAATTTTTAACAATTATTTTTTGACATTAGACATTTTTTATGTCTATTTAATGATACTGATGATCTTGTATATGTTTTTTTTTTTAAATTTATTTAGTAAAGGTACCAAAATTTTACCAATTAAAGCCACAAATAACATTGAACAGAGTTACAATTTAGGATACAGCTTCCTTGTTTCCTCTTATAATAAATAGCCTGTAGCATAAAAAAATGGAAAATTATTTTTTCAACAGAAATAAATAGATTCAAAGTGCAAAGTTTAAACTCTCATAACTTCATAATTTTTATAGATAATTTTTTTTTAACATTTTTTCCATGTTTCTTTACTTTATATGTGGATTAGAAAAAACACCCCAAGCCATAACTTCTTTAATTTGAAAGATATGACAATACTTCTTAGAACAAAGTTGCACACTTTACTGTTATTAATTGTTTGATATCAATGATCAATCAATACTACTTTCTATTACACTTGAACTGATATCAATTTTAGTTTTTTTTTTTATATAGAACAGCCTGTATATTTTTTTATTATATTATATAGACAAGAAAACGACTTTTAACAAAAAACGTTTGCTACTTTCACTCCACAAATTAGATATTTTTTACTGAGTTTTATACTGAACAAACTACTATAAAATACTGTGCGTGCTTTACTTATTATTTATTATTTTCACTATGCAAAAAATAATTAAAACATTTATCAATTTATACCGAACAAAATCGAATTGTTTACTGAAAGCATTATTGCTACTCAATGAAAATACTGAAACATTGCATAGTCTTTTGTAATTTGTACACCTTTCAAATAAAAAAGGCAATAATTAATGTCAGCACTTATCATTCTTTGTTTGTCAGTGATTAGGAAAGAAAGATTAGGATCATGTCTACTCTTTCGTTATTTGATTACATGATAATTAATGGAACATTAATGAAACAATGATTAATTTAATAATCATTGTTAAGGGTTTCCAAAAATTAAAATAGTTAAGTGTGTTTTTTTGTATCTAGTGTTTTGTGCCTATTGTATTTGGGGCGCAGGATTTGTAAAATTAATTGAATAACTGAAACACTTGTATGTACACATATATTAAGGCAAAATTAGTTTTGAGATGAAAACTATTGGGACAATTATGAAAACATTTTTTTTTCAATACATATTTTATTTTATTAGATTGCATTTTGTTTTAAATACATAATTGCTAAATAAATAAATCTAAAACTGTTACTTTAATTATACCTACAACTTATAATAAAGTACAGTTAGCGTCACAAGTCTGGATTAAAATTTGTGTTTTTGACAGAACAATAATTATGAAAAAAATTCTTTACGTCTTTATTTTATTTTTATCTTCATTCATCTTTAATGTTCTATTAAGAAATGAACAATAACGTCGTATTTCGGACTGTACCTAATTCATAGTGGACCAAAAAAAAATATGGAAACAAAGGCTTTTGACGCGCACAATATATATGCAATTAGGATAGTCAAAAATCTGCAATAACTAAGATATAAATGTAGTTGAACACTGCCAATGAATTTTAAGCATAATTACACTTTGATAACTTATTTATTATATTTTCTTCTAACAGACCACACACATGTTTGATAAGAAATTTTTAATAAAAAATTATTTTTTTAATAAGTAGATATGTATTTTTATAAAGAATATGTTACAAAACACAAATGTGGAAAGACCGAAAAAGAGCGTCTTCACCTTAACTGTATATATTCATAATTTACCAAACAAATACAAAATATGACTAGGTAGGTAGGTACAATACTACACAATTTAATTTAATTAAATTCTACACTTTGCTTAAGAGGAAAAAGCGTTTATTCGTTTTAGCACTTGTCAACAATTAACGCTAAAGCAATCATATTCGCAAACACTTTTACTGTTACAAAAAAATTAAAAAATGACAAAATGAAACACAAAATTATAAAGTACTCACTAAATGGCTAAAAATCTTAAAAGACACATTTTACCAAGATTTAAACTTGAAATTTATAAATTGTGTACACGACACATTTATTTTTTTGAAAATTGGAGATAAATAAAAAATTGTGAGTTATGTACACAGAAAAATCTAATTTTACTATTTGCGGTTCAGTGCTTTGTTTTGGTCAAAAATTTTGTGGTTTATTAGTGTCTAAAACATGTTAAATACAATGATCAAAAAATCCTATCAAACAAACGTAGAAACTCAGAGCGTGTCCCCTAATGAGAAATGAGAAATGTAAAAATAATTTTTATAGCAAATCGTACTATAGATAAACACTGACAACACTTTATTTTGAGAAGTTTCATAGACTAATTCAACTTGCTTAGATCAATTTCAGGTTAAATATTATTAAATATTTTTTAACAACTCGTTGACATACGCATTGCTATGCAAGATGCGTTTTCACGAGTACGTCTAATTGATAGAAAGACTTTTTGATAAGATTGTGTATTATTAAAAATTAATTATTTAAAAATTTATCCGATTAGTGGCGCTACCGTAAATAAGAGTAAAATTACAGAACACTGTACTTGCATTGTAGACGGTACCTTTTTAATAGTTGCTCGCGAGAGGTCACTATATTACATTTTGGTACACCAAAACAACTAAACGAAGACCTCGCTATATGAGAAAAGGAAAGAGCAATAACAATTAGTTTCGGATAACTGGTTTGAATCTTCTTTATGTACCTATTTACTTAAGGTTTTTTTAATGAGTGATGTAATTTAATATACAGAATTTAAAATTTAGGAAAGGTTCTGGCTATTCATGTTTCTAATACAAGGCCTTTGGGCTTGAACAGCGCTCGTATGAATGGTCTTTAGCTTCTTACCTGCATTTTAAAACAGACCCGTAAGGGACAGTTTGTTAGCGGTACAATTAGCGTTATGACATACGGTTACCAAATTTTATCCAGGGATGAAGGAAGAACAGCATCTGCTTAGTTTATAACATTTGCCATTTTCCTGCCTATGGAAGCTTTGAAAAATTGCCAGTGACGGTATTTTGCTCAAGCGATATGTGACTTATGTTTGCAAATAATGAAAGTTATAATTAAAACTATGATTAAGGAGAGTAAAAAGAAAGTGATATTTTATGCAAATAAGTACATAAATCTGATGTACATACGTTTGCTTATGTAACTGGTCGGAAAATACCAAATGTGAGAGCATCTACCCGAAGAGCTAAATTTATTAGATACTTTAAGTGCAAATCTTGGGATTAAATTTTATTAATATAATTAAAATGTTACACAAACTCTCACTGCTAATTTTTGTATATTCGGCATTTTTCGAAATGCGTTATAATTTTATAGGCGATAAAATCAATAAAATTGTCACATTAAGCGAAAGGATCTGTTAAATAACGTTGAATATCTGATTTTATTATGAACGAATTTCCAGAACTGTCAGGTAAAATTTTGATATTTGATGGACCACAAAGTAATGCCTCCAACAATCGACATCTGTTGCACGATAGCATCTGGGTTGTTCCTCCAAATTCCACCAAATGGCTCATTGTAACATTGTGACTTTTTCGAATGAATCTTATCCAACGATCTTCGCAATTACATCACGACTTTGATCCAAATTAAAGATTTGATTTAATTTTAAAATCGAGCGTTTCATCATTAAAACTACTGACTCCGCAAACGAAAGTGTTTTTTAGATTAATATTATCACTCTGTTGCAATGGAAAAATTAAATAACTTAGTTTCGCAAAGGATGGAATTTGACACTTATTAGTCGATCGGCGAAATGTGGGTGTAGAAGACCCGCGGCTGCAGAGGACTCACTTACAAAACTGTTGATATGGTGATGATCGGCATTAACTTTCATTTCCATAATTTTATTTTAAATGCTTTTAACGCAAACTTTCTACTGAAGATGGCTCGTTATCTCGCAAAAAGCAACAATCGAAAGATTCACCATTTATTAGCCTATAAATTATTTGCTTAACAAGTTTTGACTCAATTTCTAACTCCTAAATTAAATAAGAAAAGATGCCGATTTGAAGGATTTCCCACTTGCAAACAGGCCCGGAACGAGGGACAAAATTGGATTACGACCATTACCAGTCTTATTCGTCTTCATTTAAAAATAGATTGTCTGATGCAATTTCAAACACAATCGAACACTGTTTATTTCATTAGTCCAATGCGTACCTAATATTTATTCAGATTCAGTTTCTCTTGATTTTGTTCAAGCAGAACCGTTTGTTTCTATTTTTTACAAAATTTGATATCTTTTCAAATCTTAAACTATAGTAATTTAAGAAGCCAACTTTTAATTCTATAACACTTCTTGAATTACCTATTCCTATGAAAACCTTTCCAGTATTCGCGGAGGAATTTTAGAGAAGTGGACCCACAAAGGAAATATTTTTCTGATTACATGATCGACTAGTTTTGACTCTAGTCACAGTAAAATTACCCCAAATAGAAATAAAACTAAATTATAATATAAATATCTTTTTTTTGTTCATTTTAGTTCAACCACATAATACATATTTAAAAAAATATATCAAAACGCTTTACATAAAAAAGTGCAATAAAATATTAAACTTTCAATTTTAAAATGGCAAAGGGTTGTTGATATTTTCGATTTTGTTTTAAATTTGTCGTTCCGCCACCGCCGCGCCGTTGCTGTTTTGCTTCTAGTCTTAATTAAGGAAAATATCCGGCTTAGCGGAAGGACTTGAGTTAAATTAATTTATCATTAGTATGAGATAACATGCTTTGTGAAATTAATTTAAAGTGGCTTATAAATAAAGATAGTGTCGTTGGATGTAACAAGAAATATTTAAATTTGAGAAATTATTTAAGCGCTTATATTTGTCTGATTAAGAAAAAATGGTACAAAAAGTGATAATCAGCAGCAGTAATTTAACATCCTCTGCATCGATTTCAAGAAATAATAACTCCGTTTACCGTGGGAACGTTTCAAATTTTATAAGTTGTTGAACACTTCTGCTGTAGGTTAAACATAAAAAAAGTCACAGACGAGACGGGTATTTGCATTAGATCGGTAATAAAATAATTACTAGACATTACATTAAGGTAATTATTCCAGCGAGCAGTGTCATTAAATTAATTTGTTGTTGTTACCAATATTTATTAAACACTTAGCGTTTGGCCGTAATCGATTTTTGGTGTTTTTGGAACATGAGGAATATTTAAAAAGTTTTTTTTGGTAATTGTGATTTGATTGAAATGAACATAAATAAAATTTGAAGAGAAATTGATGTACGAGACAGAACTATTCGCGACAACACTGAATTCCCATTAAATTTTATAAATATTTGAGTAAAAAATGGCAACATAACAGCATAGAGCGACATACTTTTGTGAAACATTCCAAAGATGGTGTCGGTGAGATAAAAATTAATATTTGAATGAGATGCAACTAATGGTTATACAGGAGTGTTATTTTAAAAATCAATTTACCTAAATACCGACCATCGATTGTATAATAAATTCATCAATTTATCTAGTCAGCATCAATACCGGTTTGTGGAAAAAAATCGCTGTGACTAATAACTTATAGGACATAGAGAACATATATTTTCTAATCGTTGCACAAGTACACTGCAATTTTCTAGTCTCTGGACCTTCCAACATTGCCGATTTCCATTCTTTTTTCGTCGAATGCGGCAGTTTGTTGGTACAAAACAACGAAACGTTTGCAATTCTTTCCGCGTCTAAATGGTGAAACAAAACAAAATTAATGTCGAGGCTGTCCACCAATTCCCGTGGGACAATTTTGGGCCCGCGTACAATTTTCTATTTGTTGAGAAACATTGTATTTTCCTTGTTGTGCCATAAAATTAACGAAGCCTGGCAATTATTTAACTTAATAAAAAATTACGCTCTGAATCGTACTGGTTGTACCATAAAACCGAATTGTCCTTAAAATTCGTAAATTAAATAAGTGTTTCCACGCTACGATGACTCCATTTCCAATCGGTACTGAAAGCAATTAGGTACTAATTAGATGTTAAAGTGTTTTATGCATATTGATCAATTATATAAGTACCGTTTTTAGTAACAGCGTATCTCCCAGTCACCTACCTACATGCTATAAGTTGCAACACTACTTTCACGTAAGGAAGCATCTTCGTATTGGAATGTCGTACTCGTACAGTACCGAGCTATACCTACCTATAAACTAATAAATGATATAGTGGGACTCGAAACAAATGACGGGTACACCACTCGACACACATTTCATGACACACAAATCAAATTTCAACCAACTGACACAAAATTGCCATTATGAGCCTAAAGACCTTTTTATTTTATTACAGAGAAGACACAAATCAGATGTGGACAAAAGGCTGCTTTCGCTCCCTTATATTAAATCTGCAACCATAAATCACATCGTCTTTACACATAAAATGCGGCAAGGGCCATTCCGGTTAAATAATCGGATGGTTCCCCTTATGCGTAGCTTTCATTTCCTGTGCACCGTGAAATGTTCACAATCTAAGCCACTTTCGGCCTGCAAATACAGTTAATAACATTTTCATCTTACCCATCCTTACGCTCAACTTATCACTTACCTTTCTCTTACTTTACAATTTTTCATTCGATAATTACTAAGCGAATTTCCGGTAATTGAAGCGCTTCTTAATTTCTTGAAGAACCATCATAAAATCAACGAAGTAAATTTCCGCGATTCCAAATAGGGCACGTTACTAGTGATTTTTAAAATGTTAAATTATCTAAAGAAAAAATTAATATTTTGGTAATTCTTCCAAAGGAAGTCATAATTTGCTGGTATATATTGAAACATAATTATTATATACTACGATCAACATAATTTGACAGCTCAGTAGACCATGACATATGAGAATCGTCTATACTTGAGTCATTGCTTCCAGCATACCAATAAATGTCAAAAATGATAGATGAATAATACAAAAGCAGAGCTAATCGAGCCGTATTGTCTCAATTATACATTGCAATAAAATCAACAAGTAAAATATTTTCAAATTAACAATTAGAAAGCGAATTTTTGCCGAATAGATTATTTTGAGAAAGCGATGATCACTTCTGACAGCCTACAAATAAGAAATGAGTGTCATCAAACCAATAAAACTTATTTTACGAGTAAATCCATTTAAGGCTTAATTAGTAAATACAGAGTTTCAGTTGCTTTTCTCGGCTCGTCGAGATAAATATGGGTGTTTATACTTATGCAAAAATATGCATACATGTATTGACTGAGGAAATTTATTGTCTTTCGATTTCACTATGAATATTTATGAAATTTTGCAACTTAATACTTATGATTGACTCCGAAAATAATGTAAAATTATTGGATTGTTTTTTCCCGTCATAAAATTGTTAGTTGAAACGAACTCAAGAAAGACAACAGGAAATGGATGAAAAAACTAGTGGCTATCAGTAATAAAATGTCTAATTTTTGACCGCCCACTGGTATAAGAAAGGATCTAAAATCCGTAATGACTTCGTAGAAGGTTGCAGAAAATCTTGAAACAGTTTGCTAGTTTGTTTGCTTAATTTTGCATACTAATGATATAAATTTGTAACAGTTTTTTGATCTGTGATCTTCGCTTGCAGTCTGTCACTTAGTCAATTGACTTTATTATGGATGTAAATAAGGCTTGACTGTGCTTCCAAATTATTAAATATAAATAGTAAATAAACCATATGGCGTATTTTGGTTCTCAGAGAAATTTGTCATTTTGTCAAACCTCCCAAGAGGAATATTATTTACGGTGGCTTAAGCATTGAAAACTAAATTTACAAAAGGATTAAGGTAATACAAATTAGGGTCCTAAAATGCGGCAGATATGTCTGTTAAGTGAGTGATCGCCGAAACGGATAAATGTCTTGTTATTCTAGCACCCTTCTTTGTTTACTTTACAATTAGCAGGAAGGTAGCTCAGAAGAAAGGGAATATTGATGGTTTTTCAGACGTCCGTTGCAGCCAAATTAATTATTTTTCTTCCAGGAATAATTCAGTGTCCTTTCAAGTTTTCGTCGAATTTAATTCGAAAGAATATGGTCCCGTTGTTTGCATTAACTCTACATGTCTGATTTGCCGCCGACAACCTGTTCGAATTTACAAATCAGACGTTTTACCTCAGCTAATTTAACTTGCATAAATTTGTTTCTAACGGTAGATTTATTATAAAAATCTATTTATATTCGATAATATTCCGTCTTGTCGAAGTATGCCACCAGTGTCAAGTGTGTAAATTAAGACTGACGTTTATAAATTAATAATTCGCCGAGTCTGCGAAAAACGTATCTGATTACGATTTTATCCTGAGGTCGGAGGTCAACACTGACAGCCAAATTTGTTTCTTTACAAATTAATTGGGACTGTAATCACAAAATCGAATGGCCTCAATTTCGCATAGACAAAAATATTCCTGTGATTGTGAAGATTTTATAGATCACAGCGGCGGGTCAAAGGTTGGCAGTTCATGACCTCAAACCGACGTTCACCTGACGGAACGGGAGTCATCTTTTACTTACAATCATGAAGAACCGTTCGGATTTATTAATTCATTCCATAACATGAAGAATTTCCACGCTTTTTATTTAAAAGAACAATTAAACAGCAAGCAATTAATGTACGTGTTTTTTAACGAAAAGCGCTTTCTTGCTATTTTATTTATTTTCCTTTGTTTTAATGGCATCAACAATTTCACTAGAAGGTTATTCGGCACAAGGAGCCGCAAAACAAGATTGTTTGAAATTAGATTTTTTCAGGTAGCTGGGCACCAATTCCTGGAACGTTTTGTGCAGCTGGCTCCTCATAAAGGAAATCGCGCAATCCGGAGACAACATAAGGCACCTTTTTGCGAACATTACCTGCCTCCTTTTCAATGAATGAGGAGGAAAAAAACTTCGAAAATAGAGAACAAAAAATTTATTATGATAACTTTAAATAACATCATTCACGTAAGGAACAATACAGCTTCACTAGGGAAGGTTTAATTAAGAAACATGAACAATTTGTAATATGACATTTAGTTTACATGCTTTAAATATACAATAATATATTACAAAAGGTCTTTTTGACATAATAAGTCTTTAAACTTGTCCAAGTGGTTAAGTAGTACAACAAGTGTTTTAGATCAGTGTCATAGAACGATTTTTATAATCATTCTATGACACAACAGCAAATGACTTAGTTATAATAGGAGGAACATTACGTCTTTGTTCAAAATTATCATGATCAGATACAGTGTTTAATACTAATTAACGTTGATCATATTATAAAAGATCATGTAAGTTGCTTCTGACTAGAGCTCCAAATGAAAAAAAAGAAGAGAAGTTCAAATCGGAAGCAAGTTTTTAATAAGAAAAAAATGCTTACAAGTATTGAGATAAGTCCATGTAAGTAGACAACGCTGACTTAGTTAATTTTAGATTCATCACATATTACAATAACAATTTAAGTGTTATATTAGTTACATACTACTTGACGAGTCGGCGCCGCGCCCGACCCTTAAAGCAGGCTTTCTACTACACCAAAATCTTTGGTTTTCTAACCAGAATCTTCCTTCAATGACAAAAAAAAAGACGCGGAAAAATTATCCTAACGTAATATTTACAATATAAACAAAAGTGTGATCATTGGAGCGAAGTTCTAGTCCTCGTTATTGGCGGAGTTTAAAGCGGCGTCACGGGCAGGGCGAAGGCTCCTTGGACGCGGGACTAAATCAGTCCCAAATTTTAATACACATGCAACCATAAGTTACATCGACGATCCAGCGCGCGAGCAATTAGAGCGAATAATAAATATAAATGTACATCGTGCTCTAAGCTAACCGCTGGATCGGCGTCACATCCACTCAATCAGTCATACATTTAAACTAACTCTACACCTCCGTGGCGAAGAGACCCGCTGAAATTGCATCCGGGCGGAGGAAGTGTTCTTCTATCACATAAACGCCATTGGACTCCTTTTCCACCGGCCTCTTGAGCAGGGAGGGGTCACTGTAACAAAGAAAAATCGGTCAAGCCTTTCGCTTCGATAATTAAAAAATAGCGAAATTACCTGGAGCCACACACAGCCGACGCGTTTGACATCACAGACAAACGTTTAATATGTTCGTACTCGGGCTCATGCAGTTTGGCTGCAAGAAGCGCCGAAGCACGAGGTCCCGGTTCGGTATTTAGTTGCTTTTGAGAACGCGTTCTCTGTAGACTGTACACTGGTCTTCCGTCTATGACCTGGTGCATAGTAGATTTAGGGAAACCATCACATTCGCTAACACTAATATTGGATACACTGCAGTCATCGGGCGAGGAAATGTTCGAACTCATCACGTTGTTGGTGCATTTGCCCCATGAGTTTTTAATCATGTGGGCGTCCGCCGCCATGGCAGCCCCCCGTTTCGCGAAACTGCTATTGGCGGTATTTTGCTCGTTCTGCAGTCTGGCTTCCTCGTCGGCCCGGGCTTTCTCCCGTTTGCGGCGTTGTTTCAGGCAAACGATGACGCCGACTGCGATTAATACTACTAGCGGTACGAATGTTGAAATCGTCGCGATGACTACGACGTGTTCCGTCGTCAAGTTCGACTCGGAGGACACTCTCGCACTCGGAGCGGCGCTGGACGACACTTCCTCGCACTGCCGGCCCAAGAAGCCGGGCGGACAATAACACTCAAAACCGTGGACCCGATTTACACAAGTACCACCGTGTTGGCAAGGTTCAACCTGGCATTCGTCTACTTCTTCACTACAGTCTTTTCCTGTAAAACCCGGCGCGCACTTGCACTCATAGTCATTGATTAGCTGCAAACAAGTTCCACCATTGGCACAAGGTTTAGTGATGCAATAGTCTACGCGGTTCTGGCACAGGGGGCCCACGTAGCCCGGAACGCACTGGCAGCGAAACTCATTGATTTTATCGACGCAAGTACCCCCGTTTTGACACGGGTTTCCTAGACAATCGTCGATGTTGGTTTCGCAACGCTCGCCTGTAAACCCTGACGGGCAAATGCACGTGAAGCCGTTGGTACTTTCGACGCAAGTTCCGTCGTTTTTGCAAGGATTCGGATTGCAGCTATTGGCTTGGTACTCGCAATCGGGACCACTGTATCCCGGACGACACTCACACCGGTACCCGGAATCGGTGTTAGTGCAGGAGCCGCCGTTTTGACACGGTTTTTCGTCGCAATTCCGGATGGAAGTCTCGCATCGGGGACCACTGTAGCCCGATGGACAAATGCAAATGTTGAGGGTGCTGTTGCGATTGCAAGTACCACCATTCAAACAGGGAGTCTTCGCGCAATCGTGTAAGGGTAACTCGCAGTTGGTGCCCGTGTAACCTGCGGGGCAACTACATGTGTAGCTGCCTTGGCCCGTGTTGAAACACGTGCCTCCGTTGCGACAAGGTTTATGGTTGGTGCAGAAATTGAGATCTTGGTTGCAGAAAAGGCCACCCCAGCCCTCGTTGCAAAGACAGTCCCACGGTTTCACGCAAGTGCCGTGCATGCACCCGGGGTATCGCTGGCACTGGTCGCAAAGAGGACCTTCCCAGCCTGATTGACACCTAGAAAAAAACGGGAGTTATAATGATTGAGATGTCTAAGCATCATTTTAATTTAATTGCCGGGAAGTGTAATTATCTATTATACAACATCCTGCAAAAATAACGGATCGCTATGGATGTTGAATTGCATATATGGTATAGCGTGAGCGAGAGTGTTTTAGTTATCGGGGTGAGGAGACACCGGTAACGTCAACGTGAGTACGTCGGATCTGATTTATTTATTCAAATCATGTGTTTAGGAGCGAGTGTATTCGGATCGTATCGGGCAGCTCATTGAGTTGCAGCTTGGATCGCAGACCGGGGCGCGCGGGGAGCTCTGGGGGGGATGCAACACGCCCACAGAGCCGTTTCCCACGCTGCCCGTTGGCAAGTATGCAGGTCAAGGAAAGGTTACCTGCGGGTCGCCGGCCCAATCCGCATACACTGTACTGCACACAGCTTCTTCCGCTTGGATTCGACTACAAGGCGACCGGAGACCGGCGAACTAATAACCACCTAACTCGGACAAACTTCTTGAAAATTATAGGGCTCACCGTTTTAATGAATTCGAGTCGTATTCAACACTCACGCACCGCAAGAGAATCTTTCCGGACCGATTTTACCACGCGGAGATTTCAATGATGGATCAAGTAAATCGAGAGTTTTACTTACCGACACTCGTTGGGCTTAGTACAGTGACCATGTTGTTCGTCACAACCAGGTAGACATTGAGCTGCAAGAAAAAAAAAACAAAATGTTAGCTATCTAAATTTTTCGGAATAATTTCACAATGTCAAGAAGCGCCCTGTATATGCGCAGGTATGCCGCGATCGTGGGAAGAGTGCCGGCTGTGCAGTCGACAGCAGCTGAGTGCTCACGTCTCTTAGCTCTCGCGGTCAAAGTTTTTGTTTTATGATCAAAATTCGTCTTTTTTGTTCCGTTCTATTTTTACCTCGACGATTCTCACCAATTCAAACAAAATCTCAAGTGCGAGACTTGAGGACCAACACCCGACCAATATCAAAATGCTCAAACGGCCGGAAAGAGATAAAGAGCCATCTGGTTACTTACGTTTGGTACAGTAGTCTCCCGTCCATCCAGCCAAACAAACCCGCTCACCCGTGGGAGAGCAACTATAATGGCCGAATTGGTCGTCTCGGGGACGACACAAATTCTCGCAACCCTTGCCGTAATAATGCGACTTACAAGTCACCCTGTACTCGAATTTCAGGGTCGAATAGTTCGAACTGTGCACATCTTCGGTCCATTTATCGCTTACGTCCAGCCACCTCTGTCTAGTCAGGCGGCTCACTAATACTGCAACAAAAAAAAACGGCACTTGACTTATTGAAATCTTCGCAGTAGACATATATTAGAATAGAAACATGTTGATTCGTTTTCTTAGTCGATAAAACGTAGGTTAGATCGAGCATAGTAGCGTGGTGCATTTATCATCGGATGCAATGACATTATTATACAGGTAGACTTTGTGGACAAAATTCTAAAGTAAATTTGAACGGGCCGAGATGGTAGACGTGTGAGAAACAGAGTGCACCTGCATGATGCATCGAGCATCCTGCACTTCGCAGCTGTATCCGGTGAAGCTGTGGCAACTAGTGACGAGAACACCTTTATATTTATTGTAACCTCTCCAGATTCAAATCTAGGTATTAATTAAAATTTTGATTAGGTTTAAGGGTCCCCGGTACCCCGACGATTATAATCCAGCAGGTGGAAATCCCGCTCCTCCCTCTCGTGGGATTTGATCAACGTCGTGCGAAATGTTCAGGTGTGAGACGACAATCTTATCGAGACTTGGGGCGAAAGGTAGAGGAAGTTCCAGATAATATTCCACAAGTTGAGGGGAGAAGCAAAAGGGACAGGACATCCGGTGTAATGCCCTGAATCAAGCACGTTTTGGCGAGGCGTATTATGTAACAAGTCTCAAGATTTATTTTGATCGAATACCGCGTAACTTATGTGTAAACCGGAGTTTCAAAACAACATTTTTTCAGATGATCGTACGTCGAATGCAGTCTGTAAGATCTCTAAAATAAATAGCCTCAGTGAGACAGGTTCTTCTTGGTTTAATTAACGGGCATCCGTTAATGTGAAGAAAGAACCATGGGATCCGCGCGAACGAAACAGAGACGCACAAACATAGAGCTAAAACGATAAGCAGACATAGGAAATACAAGTAGGTACTTTTTAAAAATTCTTGGGCGATTATTCTCCAATAAGTAGGTATATAGTCTGTAAGAAGTTACTAGACTATTTTGATTCTCTTTTTTTTTATGGATATACGATTACGAAATAACGGAGCATACATTAAATTCTTTAAAACCGTATCCACCAATTACCAGGCTCTATGAAATTCTATTTACTAGATTGAAATTCTCGAAGAACCGAAAAACGTGAGTTATTAAAACGGCCTCACCTACCGTCGGAGAATATATTTTTTAATTAAAGTGATGTGTCGTTAACAATTAAAAGTTGAAAGTCTGTACACCACAATCACCGAAAACCTATTATAATAAATTTTCAAAATGATTCACATAAATCAAGCCATAAGCGCATATTAAACTGGTACATAATATACTTTTCCGGGATTTTATACAATATGCTACTGAATCTTTTATGTTAGCAGTGGAACTTTATAATATAACGTGTGAACAAAGTTAATTAGTTACTATGCAGTTCTTTATTATCTTGATTTCTTTAATGATCCCAGTATACATTTTCTTAACAAGTCTATAATATAAAGTCTAATAGGTTATTGAGAGTAGTGAAAAGAAAAAAAGCATTAGAAAAGTATGAATCAAAGTCTTGAGATTAAATAAAACAGTGTCAAAGTAGGGTTACGCGATGACATAGTCGAATCGGTCAAAAGGGACTTGAAATCTATTTATCATTTTGTCAACTGCACCACAGTTGAACGGCCCTAAAACTCATAGGGAAGGGGAACCGAATAGTATAGAACGGTTACTCTATAGCACCTGGTCGCTGTACAGCCGCCGCATTAAATTTGACTACGGTCGAAAGTCGCAATAAACGGTTGCAAATTCAAACTTTAAAGAAATATCAGGGAAGTATACCGGTGCCAGATTCGAATGTTTACATGTCACACAGTCATTCCTCGTGGGAAACATTGACTTCCTGAAAACCTCCTTCTTTTGGCTTAATCAAATTTAATTAAATCGTTACCGAAGCCCCAGTAAAACGGAAATGACACGCGAACCAAATTGGCAAATAGAAAAAGTTGCTTGTTTTAGCGAGCAGCGGCGGTGTAGGTATTACCACGATTAAAAACGAAGAATGTAGTGGAAATATCAGCAAGACGTGCATCAAAGCGGAAGAACCTTTTAGGTTATCAGGAAGAGGGCTGGTTTGTTGGTAGCTAAGAGTTGACAGCTGTTATACATGTGGCTTCTACCGTGCTATACTATGATATTTATTTAGTTTCAGAGAACGGCGTTAGTCATATACCACACACCTCTAACTAGTATCCCAAGAGGGATGTGTTTCTTTCAGAAATATTTCAATTATTCTCTAAAAATTCACTCACCTGCGGGATGTGATGTTTGGTTCCCGTGCCACGCTTCCACGATCAAGGAAAATGTACCCTGCAACAGACGGATAAGAATTTGTTTAAATTTTTAGTCAATCTAAGAGAAAACAACTTTCACTGAGAAGATGTTAAAGCAGTTCGTTACGTGCGATACCTCTTTTTATAACCAATCCTAAGAGTTATTCACTCGGCATAAAATCTACATTTTGGCATTAGAAACGAATCAATTTCTAACGAGCCACCGACAATAAAAAGCCTTCGGATTTCTTGGAGACAGAGAGAGAAACTTACGAAGATGAGTCTGCACGAGTTGGTGTATATAACAATAAACAATACAAAACCGGTTGAGCATAAGCATCTTGTGATGCTTATTGCGCACGAAATTGTGGGAAAATTAGGTTTTTTAACTCGTTTTTACCACAAGTTAGATTATTCGCTTGGAAAATTGGAAGACGCATTGATTGACAATTGCAATTGTAACAAAGTAAAAGAATGCAGAGAATGCTGTTGAAAACACGGAAATGTCTTCTTTAAATTATACAGAAAACTTGTTACGCTTTCCAATTTTTACCGTATCGGTGAAAAAAATTGTAATTACCTAACGTAATCACACTTATTAGAAATAAATTAATTAGGCCGAAATATGCATTTTCTAAAGCTCGACGGCGCGACGATTCCACATAAAAACAAGAAATGGAAAGAATAAAAATAAAGCATGCATAAACATTAAGTTTGATCAATAAATCTATTATAATTAATTTTGAACTTGTACAGTGTGTTTCCCACGGCAGATACCTGCTTCGAGCCAGTATAAGATGCTACAAAATCGTTCGGCGGAAATAGTACAGTCTCTGCAACAACCTCGGTAACGACGGGCAGGCAGATAAATCGCGTTTCTTCGACAAAACAAAGCCGACATAATTGCAATAAAATTTGTTCGTCAGAATTTTGTTATGAATGAGGCAAGGCAATGTTAGAAGTCCTAGGGCAATCTATTATAAGGGTGGCCCGCATAAAGACATATAGGCAGGTGGTAGGTAGCTTTTGGAACAAAGTTGCGACGTTTTTCGAAACTTACCGGCCAAGTGAAGGGAAAAGGCAAAGCGATGGAATTTTCGAATCCGTTTTGTGAGTTGTCCGATCCGGGATTTGTTTCGAATTCAGTGGTGATAACATCTCCAAAGGTGCATGGAGACGTGGTGTCGATCTTCACTTGGTATTCCTTGAGACAAATTCGAAACCGCGGACGACACATTCCCTCACATTCTGAATTTGGTGCAGAGATACCGCTACAGCATCTTCCTTTATCGTCCTTCCCGGCTTCGTTGTCAAATGATATCAGTCGTAATTCAAAGACTCCGGAAGAATCGGCCTATGACAATTTGTTGTTGTAGAATTGAAATCCCGCCAGTCAAACGCATATGTTTTCGATTGACTTAAATAGTTTTCGTTCGCTATTTTAAGATTTTCGAATGAACTAGTATCAAAACGAGGTTGATTGTTGTTGTTATTGTAGCGCGCTTTTGAGACACTGACCAAAGAATCATATATATCACTGTCTCAAGCTTTGACACTTGTCGCGAATCGCGGACTGGCTTTGTTTATGATTTACCTGGTGCTGGGCTAAGATGACAAAGACTAGAAACGTAAGTATCCAAGACATGGTGATGGCTCCTTGCGCTCACGAGGGATTCAGCAGCTTCCTTGTGCTGTTACCTCAGAGGTAATCTGTAACACCACGCCATAGGCAATAATAGTCAATTCCGCTCACTGCAGTCACAGGCGGCAACATGCGTGCCTCACTCCCGGGGATTCACACCACAACACATGCATACGAAGGAACGAAGGTGTTAGCAATTAGTACGTCGAATGGCACCCCATATCGACACAACACACCACCAACACTCGTGACTAAATCCGAAGCGGTCGTTGCGGAACTCCTGCAAACACGGACGGCAGATGCAGACTGAAGCTTTCAACAGTCACAGTCACGGAGCCGGCTTTGACTCGGCCGTGTGGTAGCGTCAGGGAGGGGAGCGCTCTAAGGGGTACTGCGTGCTTCCGCCAGAGCTCTCCACACTTTACGCGACTTGGACTCACTACTACTCGTATTTTATACTACAACTACACTCGCAAGCTTGCTACCCTCGAATGGGCAGCCACCCGGCGTGCCCGCTTTAATATGAGGGACTCACCAGCTGCTCGCTGAGGTAACCCGAGGGTAGCCGCCGGTCGCCGCTTGACGCTCATCGAACGCCCGGAACGACGATCACCGGCTTCGGTACCATACCACCCACTCGCGAATTCGCGATACTAACCTTCGTCAACAAGACCTTCACGCGATACCATAACTAGCCCAAAATACTACGCGTCGCGGCGCCATCATTCATTCATAAAACCAAACCTACACCCGCTTAAGCTTGAACAATATACCACTTAATTCGCATTCGTATTCGCACAGGAATACTCTATTAAATACAACAAAAACTAGACAGAATATAATATGTAGTTGATTATTATTAATATTTTTAGTTGTTCAACCTTAGCAAATTCACTATTACCGTACCAAATAAACCGCCACATAAATTCTAATTAAATACGTAATGACAAAAAATTAAACAATTATTTAACCAGAAAACAAAAGCAAAAGCCCTCGTCCCGCCATTTTAAAAGACTATTTATGTGTGAAAGTTAACAAACAGATAAACTCACGCAGAATTACCACAAATGTCACACTAATTAAAAAGACATTATTTTGCTAAAAGAATTTGAAACCCTAATTGAACATTATTATAAAATGTATTTATCAGTAATTGAAAATAAATAATGAAAAAACGATTTATAAGAATTATTTAAAAATATGGATATTTTTACAATCTATCATCTAGATTTTTTTTTCGTTTTTAGATACACAACTGACTATTTTTCTTTGAATGGCAAAGGAAGTTAAATTAATTTTTTTGTTAAGCACTTTTTTTTAGAATTTAACAACGTGTCGCACGTGCACCACAACAGCAAAATGTTTTTTTTTTAATTAGTCCATTCAAAACATGAAATTTTTTAAAACTTTTAATTACTAAATGACTGTAATAAAAGTAGGTTTTGAATATAAAATCGTTAACTTTATAATGTAAAGTCTGATTTACCTTTTATCAAAATGAATAAAAAAATAACTTCTCAAGATCTACATAATTTTTGAACATCTTCATGAAAACGATTTATTTTCGATTATCTATTTGATGACTTTTGTTAATTTCTTTTGTATCACCACATCATACTTTTATCGCTTTTCAAGGAAGTTGTGTTGGATTTTAGAGATATTAATTTATTGTTTTGCAAACTCGATAAGCTTGTCACGTCATATGCGTATTTTTCGGCATTTCCCGAGAGACATTCGATAATAGTAAACGATAAAAATATTAAAGCTTGAAGCACATTCTTTGTATTGATACAAATAAAATATGAAAATAGCATATACATACAGAGTGCGCCAGAACTCGCGCCCCAGAGAAAAATGCCATAAAAGGTAAGCTGTATCCTAAATTGTAACTCTGTTTAATGTTATTTGTGACTTTTATTGGGAAAATTTTTGTACCTTTACTAAATAATTATAAAAAAAACACATATAAGATCATCGATATCACTAAATAGACATAATAAAATGTCAAATGTCAAAAATAAATGTCAAAATTTATGACAGATAGAATTTTTTAAACATTTTTTCCATGTTCTTGGTATCTTATCTTAGTTGAAATTTTTCTCTGGGGCGCGAGTTCTGACACACCCAGTATACTGTAAAATGTGGAGTTAATTGACGACAGCTGTATAAAGAGATCTAAAGGCAAATGGATTGATAGAATTTTTACAATTAGACTAAAAGTAAAAACCTTGTTACAATAATTAAAACAAAGTAAAAGACGTGAGAGAGAGAGACGTAAGCGACATTAACGCCCCATTTTCATTAAATTTTAAACACGACGTGCATCCGGGCACCTTGACATTGGCAACTCTTAACCTAATTAACATTCAATTGTTGAACAAATAAGGGTAAAATCATGGTAAAATGACTGTAATAGACAACACCGTTGTTTATAGCTATGCCACAAAATAGGTCATCATACCTACATGAACAATAATTGTGTACTTGCACGAAGCAATTTTAAATAAATTTTAGTCATTTTCGATAATTCATTGTGTTCATATACTACCTTACATACGTGCTGGCTTTATCCTAATGGATATGTTGTGAAAATTGGTCGGATTCTTAACATAATTACGTAAATAAAGTTTAAATGTGCCAATATAAACTTACACAAAAATTGTAAACAAAATTGTTTTATTTTTAGAAATAGGCAGATATGTTTCTCAGTGAATCATTAGAAGTGATATTATTACGCTCGTTATAAAAATATACATTACTCTATTATTAAACTAACTGCAAGTAAACAAATTACCTTTTTTCATCCCCACTAATAATTTGAGATTAAGTTAATTATTTAATCAAAGAAAAAATCCTATTAATCCTTTTAAGACCCTTCACCATTTTGTATAAATATATACTTACGAGGTTGTAAAACATCACACACAACAAACATTATATACTTAACAATTCAACAAACAAAACTAATAACAACGATCTTTATGCCCCAGAAGTCAGAATAGAACTAAACACTAATTAGTAAGTACCTCCCGAGGTAAAAAAAGTCATTACCTAAGTGATGGCTCACCAGTTGCATCATATTATTTACAAAAATGACGGTCTTGTTGAAGCCATAGGCGTCTCCAAGTTGTAGTTTTAGGGTAGAATAAACACAATAATAATTTCGTATGAATGAATTTATTTATTGTTTAACAAGAACAATTTATTGCTGGACGACCAATGTAAAATGCTTTTGAATGGGCAAGAAAGATTAGACACACCAATAAAGCACAAAAGCCCCGGGGTGTATTATAAGCTTCTAAGTGATGAATAATTATCTCGTTTTATTGAAGTTTTACCATTCAGCTTATTTTCATCCATAGCCTCGAGACAGAATTTCGCTTTCTTGCTACCGAACGACAAAAATAAACACTATTTTACAACAAACAGCTCAAATGGAGCAATTGGGTTATGGAAGGCCTTGAACCGACTGTCTTTATTTTTTCAAAACACAGTTTTTATTTTGCAAAGTGAAAATTGTTGTTAACAAGAACGATAACAAAGATCAAAATAAAGTGAAAATATAGTTTCAAAATGAAAAATGTGGACTAATTAACAAGGTAGTGAGTTGTAAAGGCTTGCGTAAGGCTAACGTGCATTCCAACAATGGTAGGAAGACATTGGGTAAAATTTCTGATTTGGGAAAAAAGTGTTAGGTGGTTGTCCTGTGATATGCAGTATGTGTATTGTTGTGGGTGCACAAATTTGCCAGGTGTGCGCATTGATAAGAAATTCTAGATCTCGCGGGTAATCTCTGACAAAAAACGGGTGTTTTCTGCAAACATTGCAGATGGGATCATGTTCTGTTACAGCCGGCGTCCAAAGTTCCCTGAAAGAGTTGCTTAAGGGATCTGAAGAAGGGTTAAGACAGACGCTCTCTATTTTTAGAGTTTTTAAAATAGTTACCTAGCAATTTGTGGGAGGATTTTGTAAAACAGACATCTAATGTGGTGTGTTAGTTCATTAAGAGCCATCTTCTTAAAGATAACATCCGAGGCTTTTTTAGTTATTTCATACCCTTGCGCAAGGTATCGCCTATTTCCCGGTTTTAACACCTTACGATGCTAATAGAATTACCTTAATTTGAGTGTTATTGTTGGATATTAATAGAAATCGTTTTGTGGGCCATTAAGCTTATAAATAGCACGAAATTAGTATTAGCACTAGTTCGAGCAAATGATTATATTGTCATGTAATGAGTTAATGACGAAGACAAAACCGGTTAGGAGCATAACTTGACAGTTGTAAAAAATGAATAGGTGCGAAATTGGGCTACAGTGTGGTGTTTGTCTTTCTCGATGTAATATTTGTTTATCCCACCAAGTATATGACCTACTATTAGGGTCATTTCCGGTACTAAGGGGCGGAAATCCCGGACAACCCCGGAAGTACTTGCCAATTTTGTTCAGTGCACCCACCAGCTCGGATATCATGTTATATTCAATCATTTTAATGAATTCCTCCCCAAATCTGAATTGAGGTTAAAATGATTGCTATTTTTCACGGAGAATCTGGCCGGGATAGCGTTGCTCTTTTACATATCCTATCATATTTTGATTGTGGGGGAGGTAAAATTTATCATTCAATTTAATCAATCGAACAATGGGAAGCAAAGGTACAAAAGCCTTGAGTTTTTTTACTTGTCTACCTCGCAACATCTGCTCGCCTACACTGCTTTAGGTAAGGCCAATTGGTAATTGTTTTGGAGCAACTGCTCGGTTTTGAATAAAAAATCGTGATTTATTACCTACTTTTGATGATGTTGCATATATTGCATATGTTCCTTGACAGCTTGCATGGACTTTTTTAAATCTCGAACCGGAAATATGGAACTAATGAAAATTCAACACCGAACGTACCAAAAACCAAATTTCATTACGAACAGAAATTTTTGCATTGTATCTTTCGATCTACCGCGTAGCAGCAACGCTTTACAAGGTCTTGCTTGTATGTAATTATTGCACAAAATATGCAGCTACAAGCATTAATTTCGGATTTCCGCTTTAATACAAAACATGATTTGGGAAAA